TGGCGGCGGAAATCAATCTGCAGTGTGGTGAACTAGAGTGCATGGGTTTGGATGAGGTGGAGCGGGCAACCAGTAGAGCACAAGTCAACGTGGCTATACAGAAGACCAGGACTTTCCATCAGTAGAACCAGGTTTACGGCGGCAAGCCTAACAAACTTGTAAAACCGAAGTTCATAAAATCGTTTAGTAGTGTAGGTTTCAGGGTTGTTTAAAAATAAAGGAGCCTCGAAGTGGAATCGTTTTCGCAAGCTGGAGTTTGAAATTGCCTGAAGTGTCAATGCTTTTTTCAGGCTTTAAGGGAAAAGGGTGCTCCAGCGTCTCAACATAGGCATTTTAAATGTTAACACGATGTAAAACGATTCCTGTAGGCTGGTTCAGTCTGGTACTGTTGAAATACTTCAAGTTAAGTTGGGTCCCGAAGGATAGAATAAGCTGGTGAATAGTCCCACTTTTGCGGATGGTTGCAGCGGAAATAGATAGGACTGCTTGAAAGTTTGGAAAGCGTGAAACAAAGATTGCATCAGACTTGCCCAACCAATTACTGTTCAAATTTTTGTCTTGATAGATCTGAAACGAAAAAGCCGAAACACACCCTGCTCAACCAATTCCTGCCCAAGTTCCCTGAACTAGCAGTTCCTGCTGTGTAGGTTACGTGTAGTAAGAAAGAAGTAGAAGGTAAATGGAAGATAAAGGGACATAAAACATTAAAATGAAGGATGAACCAAAAGAGTGAAGAGAATGACAGAATTAGAACTAAAAGTTTGAAGATGGACATAGTCAGGAAAAGGGTAAGTTTTAATGTTGCTACACAAGAGCGTCTAACTGACGCTCGAAACCCTTAACCGTAGGTTCACTCTCTACACTTCCTGGAAGCGAGTTCTAGCGCCCGATAACTCTACGCGATAACCGAGTTTCCGACCTGGTCCGGTCAGAATGCGACTTGTGTAGTTTCATGGGATGACCGCGAAGACAGACAACCTAACCGGGCAAAATAGCCAGCTCAAGTCTGGTCCAACCTTTCCCGTTGGAATGCGTTAAGTAAGGATTAGCTCGCCTCGAAGCGATCGGTAGTGCATTGAATACATACCCAAGCTAAGTAGACGCTCGGGGTACGATTGCCCCCGTAACCCCTCCACCAATTTGGCACCCACTCTAAAAAGCCACGAGAGCTCCATTTTGTTCAGAACAAGGCAGGGCGGGCAAGCCTGGACGCAGTATTCCAGATGGGGCCGAACGAAAGCTGAGAACAGTTGCACAAATATGTCGGCAGTTAAGACCCCGAAAGAACGGCGTATTAACCACAACATTCTGAAACCCCTACTAGTGGCCTTCTTCCAGTTGTCACCAAACTGCAAAGAGGAGGAATGAACGACGCCTAGGTCTTCCTGGTTCGAGACAAGGGGGAGTTCGACCCAACTGAGTACGTAGCTCGAAGGCGGGAAAGTTGCTCCTATACGAAGGACGGAACACTTAGCCTGATTTATGGGCAGTAGCCACAAAGTAGACCTGCCCCAGAATTTGCCCAGTGCATGCTGTATGGCCTCAGAACCCCCAGGAACATTTACAACATTCCATAGCTTAAGGTCATCAGTAAACAATAGGGATGATGCCCCAAGCTCTCCAGGGTGATCGTTTACGTAGATGGAGAACAGCATCGGTCCAAGGACAGAGCCCTGTGGGACACCGCTACGTATCGCTTGCCTAAAGGATAAACTACTACCCACGTGTACACACTGCTCTCTTCCCAGCAAGAACGCAGATACCCAGTGAAGAGCGCGGCCAGATACGCCGTAGGAGCTCAGCTTTCGTGATAGCCTCAAGTGGGGTACCCTATCATATGCTTTCGAGAAGTCTACGGAAAGCGCATCCACTAAGTGGCCATTATTCATTGCCTCGGCCCAACCTTCACCAGCAACCAACAAACTCGTCAGACACGAAAACCCCTTCCGGAATCCATGTTGTGCACTACTGAGTAGGTTAAATCTATTCAGGTGACTTTGCAACGAATCTCTCACCAGCTTTTCAAGCAGTTTGACCACGACGCTAGTCAGACTAACTGACCTATAATTGGCTCACAGCCTCCTGTCGACATGTTTGAAGATAGGACAGATGGCAGCCTACTTCCATTCAGAAGGTAATGCACAGCTGTCAAGTGACTTTTGATAGACCAGCGTCAGCGGTCCACTTAGTTCCCCCGCCAACTCATGCAAAAGCTTCAGGTGAATTGAATCAGGTCCAGCTGCTTTGGAAGGGTTCAGTTCTTGCAGCAATTTAACGACTTGCGTTTCCACTACAGTAAACTCAGCTAAATAAGAACCCTCAGGTACTCTGGGGACAAGTTCAACGCTAGTCAACGCGGCCTCACGTACAAAAGCCCCTGCATACTGCTCCCCAAGTACACGAGCCTTATCTGAGTCCGCATACGCACGAGTTCCATCGGCCCGCATCAAAGTTGAGATTACCGAATTTGAACCACAGCGTCTCTTAACATAAGCGAAGAACCTCCGGATTTTCCGAAGATCCATCAGCCAATTCCTTTTCGTACAACAGCCGAGCTTTCCTTAAGTGTTGTTTACACCTATTTCTAGCCTCGCGGTATCTATCATAGGTGCTAGTTGATGGAGCCGCACGGTAGGTCCTCCAGCACCTAGAACGCTTCTGGAGCAGGTACTTGCCAGTGGTATCTATCCACGGCGGCCGCGCTCGTGTCTCCTTTCTCCTCGCAAGCGGGATGTAGGGAGTAGACACTTCCGTGAGATAAGACTTTAATTTATCCCATGCCGCCTGAACCGTATCAACCACCGAGATTTCGTAACGCAACACAGAAGCCTTGATACGCATTGCCTGATAGTTAGCACGCCGTATGTTTGGAAATGGCTTAGCGATGCTCTGGTGACTTCTAGTCAGAGTACACCTGAACGATAAACAACCATGATCACTAGCACCTAAGGGAGAGCTGTAAGTGATGTCACCTACGAAGCCTAATGACTTAGCAAACACCTGATCCAAATAGACGGAAGTTGATCATCCATGTACGTAGTGGGGAGCTCCACGAACTGATGCGACGGTACTTGTTGCGTAAGCACAAGTAGGTCCGCCCTGAAAGTGCCTTCCGCCGAGCCGCAAGAAAGATCTGCCCAGCAAAATTCTGGTAGATTGGAATCCCCCAGTCTCAAACATCTGTTTGCGGATTGGGAGCGAATAAATTCAAGCACCTTTTTGGACGCACTCCCAGGGCTTCTATACACAACTACAACTGCAATTTGAGCTGAGGAAGTGCTAATCACTACCCACAGAGCTCCGACAGGTTAATCTGCCGACTGAAACATGTAGGTACGTGAAACGTCAAGTTCACACCAAGCGTATAGCTCAACGCTTCCGCCTTGTCGGCCAACGAAGCGATCACATATAAATAGTGCGTAGCCAGACGGATGTACTTAGCCGTCCCTGATGTCCCGAGTAAGCCACTTTTCAATGAATGCAAGTACATCGGGATGAGACCCCTCTACAAGCAGGCCTGTCTTGCACATCCTATGCCTAAGGCTCCGCACATTGCTTGGCACTATCTGAAGGTACTCGTAATGTCCAGCCCTGGGTCGTGCGCTACCAGTACTGGCACTGGTAGGGCGGAAACAGACCTTCGCCTGAACACCCGAAAACCCACCCACCGGAGACCTTGTTCACCGACCGCTCGCCCGGTGTTGAGGTCCTTAATGGCCTCCTTTAGCTTCAGCCTATCCGCTAATGGGAGGTCTGGCTGAACGCTAACATTAGTACCCTTCAATTTGAAGGCAAACCGCAACAGCGCGTTGCGTTCATCCGGGATGGATAGGACTACCCAAAGTTGAACCACCTAGTATGTTAAACAATTCAAAAAAGAAACCCAGGAAACCTGTGTAACTGTACGTTTAGCTACTCAACTGAGCTGACACTTTAGATTCCAATTATCGCGGACAAGGAGACCTAATCCTAACCTACCGTATCTTGACTGGGAAGGTTGGTCCAGATTTATCTTGGTTACTCAGTCCCGCTAGATTGTCTGTTCTACGCGGTCATTCGTTGAAGCTGGACAATTCGCGGTCCGATCGGACTAGGGCGGAAATCCGGCTGTCACGCCGAGTCATCGACCGCTGGAACATGCTTCCGGAAAGTGTTATCAGGGAATCTACGGTTAAGGGGTTTGAGCGGCCACTTGATGCTCTTAGGTGGCAACACGAAACCTTTCCATTTTCCTGAGTAGCTTGCACCTTCGTACTTCGATTTTCTTTTCTCTACTTTTCTTCACGTATTGGTATTATTTCCTTATTTAAGTGCATTTCCCTATTCTGTACCTTCGATTTCTCTTCCTATCCTTTGCTTACTTCACGTGACTGCCACAGCAGGGACTGCTAGGGCGGGAAATGTGGGCATTAACTGGTTGGCCAGGATGCGATACGGGCGTTTCCGTTTTAGATCCATCGATAACTGAGGACTTCATCAATTCTGGGCTCAACGATCCACTCAAGATGGAACATTAACGGGATTTTCCTATCGTTCCAGTCCCCATCTGAACTGAACTGAACTGAACGCTGGAGCAACGACGCGCCACGGAAGGAACATTCACGGGGATTTATCCAACTGATCCGGTCCCACTTGAACTTGCTTTAAATTCTATACATTAGCGTATCTTCGGGCCAGCGGCGTTAGTTGTTGGAGTGCGCGAAGTGAGATTCGTAGGCGGCGCGCATTCGACTTTCAGTTGTTTTCAGATCTACTCGCAAAAGCACCAAAACTACTTTAGCTTGTTAATTACTCCTGCCATTCGTTGACGCATGGTGTTCTGCTGTTATGATGTGCAAAATAATTTTGTCTGTCGAACTAATGAACAACGTGCGTGCGAACTAATAGTGATATAGCCAAAATATAAAACTAAACATAAGTTTGGATCCATACCCATTTCCATTAACAAAATATACTTTGGCTATTGCATTTTAGAAAGAGGAGGAATGAAACTTAAGAGTAATCAAATCCGCGGTTAGTACCGACTATTTGACCTCACACTTACTCTGCTTTTTTCACGCACTCCAGAGTCATGCAGATTTTCGTGAAGACTCTCACTGGGAAAACGATAACTCTTGATGTGGAATCTTCGGATACCATAGAAAATGTTAAGGCAAAGATTCAGGACAAGGAGGGCATTCCTCCAGACCAGCAACGTTTGATTTTTGCGGGGAAGCAGCTGGAGGATGGCCGTACTCTCTCCGATTACAACATACAAAAGGAATCCACTCTTCATCTCGTCCTTCGGTTACGTGGTGGCATTATAGAGCCAACATTACGGCTGTTGGCCCAAAAGTACAATTGTGACAAGATGATTTGCCGGAAGTGTTACGCCCGGTTACATCCCAAGGCTACCAACTGCCGTAAGCGCAAATGTGGACACACCAGCAACCTCCGTCCAAAGAAAAAGCTAAAGTAGTGTTTTACATGATTAATAAAGTCTCTGGTATCGATGTTTTTGGCTTTTTGTAGTAAAGGCGTTCGGGTCTCATCGTTTGTCTAAAGGTTCCCGTTCCCGCTGAATCTGTTTCTCATCTTAGCTCCTATTCCGCGCAGCACTGTTTACGTACTTGGGTGTTATAATACTGACAAGGAATAATTCTGTCCCAGGCGTTTACAGCCGAAATCCGCTAATCATTGCATATTAAACCTGTAAACATCACTGCTTCTCCATTTTTGAAATGGGCGTGTACTGAATCATTCAACGTTGCGATTAAGCATAACTTGCCAGACCGCGCTTTTTCTGTGAATGCAGCATCTGTGTTAACTTTGATAACTCATTTTGAGGTTTCAAGTTCAAGCGGCACTGGTACGATAGGATTATCCCATGAGTGTTCCTTCTTCGGTGGGTCGTTGAACCAATAGTTGACAGACTTTGAAATACTGACAAACCTAAGACAAAGACCGCATCACACCCTGTCCAACCAGTTAATGCCCACGTATCCTGTCCTAGCAGTCCCTGCTAGACCGGTTGCGCGAATTAAGAAAGAGAAAAGTAAACTCAGAAGGCAAAAAGAAAGTGGAAAGAGCTAAGCAAGTAGAATATCAAGATATCTGAGTCATTAGAAAAAAACTGGAAAGTGAAGGTGAGTCAGTTAGGAAAAAACAAAGGTTTGGTGTTGCCACCCAAGCGCATCGAGCTGGCACGCAAAACCCTTAACCGTAGGTTCCATAACCACTTGATCTGAAAGCGAATTCCAGCGATCTATAACTCGGTGCGACAGACGAGATTTCTTCCTAATCCTATCAGACTGACTTATGCAGTTTCAGTGAGTGACCGCGGAGATTAGGTAACGTTCAGGTCTTCTCTGTCAGGAGACAGTAGGAGACACTGGTAAATTTTCAGATCCTGCATCTATTTGTTCACTGTCGATGTCCGTTCACCTGTTAGCAACCACCCTGTTATTAACGAACCCTCAGATAGCGTGTTTGATTCGGCTGTTCGCGAAGGAGAGCAGCAGGCTTCTGCCCTTGTCAAAAGAAGGCGAGAGAGGTTTAAAAAGTGGCGAAACCCAAGAGCGACATCAGAGGTCTGTCGGGTGCCCATCCCCCCCCCCCACAAATTCTACTACTACGAAATCGTTGCAGCTGGAAACATCTACGACATTAGAGTCTATAAAAACGGACACTAAACTGAAACCAACGGCGTCCATGGAGAGTTCGGTAAATACTCCGCGTCGCGGAGACTCGTATACCGACTGCAGTGTTATTTTCAGAATCGCCACTGAGTCATCTGCTGTTTTCCTAAAAGACCGTATGCTAAATGACCTTAAGTGGTTTACAGTATGCATTACCAAACTTCTGCTTCCAGGCGTGACTGTGCGCAAACTAACCAGACTCGGTAACTTGCTAGCTGACAAGTCTCGCCCACGCTTGTTACGAGTTGTTTTGTCCACTCCGGAGAAGCACCAAGCACTTCTGCGTTTCGCCTTTAAGCTCAAGGGCACTGGTATCATTGTGCACCCAGACTTCCCTTTGGCGGATGGGCTGAAATTGCGGGAAGCTGTGAAGGATCTTAAAGCCCGCCGTGAAGCAGGAGAAAAGGGTCTCCGCTTAGTGGGTTTTCGGGTGGTGAGCCGGCGGTCCACTTCCGCCCTACCAGAGCCGGTTCTGGTGGCGCACGATCCCGGACTCACAATGTTAAATCCCTTCAGGTGATCTTAAGCAATGTGCGTAGCCTGCGAAACAAGCTGTGCGAAGTCGGCGCTCTTGTCGACGACTGCCGTCCAGATGTCCTCGCATTCACTGAAACGTGGTTGTCCACCGACGTCACGGACAGTGAAGTGTGCTTGCCAGGCTACGCACTGCTGAGATGTGACCGCACCTTTGATCGGCGCGGAGGTGGCATTGCTTTGTACGTTAACTCCACACTTACTGTCTTTAAGACGTATAGTTTCCGATCACCAGGCGGTGATGTTGAGGCACTCGCAGTTAACCTGTGTATTGCCTCCGCGCAACTTAAAGTTGTGCTGGTCTATAGAAGCCCCGACAGCGTTGCTAACGGGCTTGCTGGTTTCATCCGCGTGCATTCGGCAAATAGGTGTTTAGTGATGGGGGACTTCAATCTTCCCGACGTTGACTGGCAGAATGTTTCCTGCGACGCTGTTACAAGGTGTTTGACTACCGAGCTTCTGGAATTGGCCTTGCATGCTTCCCTGCACCAATTTGTCTGTGGGCCTACTAGATTCATGGTGGTTCAAAACCCGTCCCTCTTGGACTTGATCTTCGCTAAATCCATTGATTTTGTCACGGCTATTGTATACAACCCACCTCTCGGTGCTAGCGACCATGCATGTCTCTCATTTAAGTGCGCCCTTAGTCATCAGACTAATGATCATCCCGACCGAGTTCCAAATATATGCCGCGCGGACTTTCAGACAATGAAAGCCGAGGCCGCAAAGTCGCTTTGTCATTTTGGAAAGTGACGACATTCAAACGGCATGGGACATTTAAATCATACTTGAGTGAGCTCTCTCTCCCCCATATACCACTATCTGGCAGGAATAAAACTAGGGCAAAGCCACCCTGGTTTGATTCTGCTGTACGCAAACAACTCAACAGACGTGCCAGATGTTGGCGTACTTACTTATCTGCTCCTTCACTATGCACCTTCAAGCGATATCGTGCGGTTCGAAATGCCTGCAGGCAGTATCTACGAGGTGCTCATCTACATCGTTGGATTCATTGCGGTAGTAGAGAGCAGGAGGGGAGATGGCTTGTCAGCACCATCGCTTCCCGATCATTGCTGGGGTGCTCGTCATTGCGCAACGGGAACTCAGGAGAGGCCATCGCACTCGTAGCTGAAGCAACACGATCCTGGCATATTCAACAGGTGTGAATCAATTAGTCGTTTAAAGCAATCCTCTATCTGTGCATCAACGACTGGCGGCGGTAACCGGTTCCAATTATTCACAACGCGAGTGGATAGAGCAAGAATGGATCGTACTTTGAGCCTCCGTGGCTTAAATATTTTCCATTGGTGGCCTCTAGTCGAACTCCCGATGTTGAGGTGGAAGGACTCCTGCAACTCTCTCCCTAGTTCTCCCCTGAGGATATGACGGGTAAAAATCAAGTCCCCACGCCGGCGGCGGTAATCCATAGAAAACATATTCAAATGCCGAAGCCGAAGGGGACACGGCAGGTCACGTAACTCGGAGACAAACTTCGATCCACGCCGTTGGACCTTTTCGATCATGTGGCGTTCAAATTTGGAAAGCGGGTAGGCAGCAGGGAGGCCGTACTCAAAAATCGGGCGCACATGCGAGGTGAATAGAAGTCTAAAAAGTTCAGGTGTCAAGCGACAGAAAGCTCTTCGGATGGCATGAAACATCCTGTAGGCAGTGGCAACCCTCTTCATGGTGTCCTGAGTGAATCTTAAGTCCGGGGAAACAATCACGTCCAGATCTCTCTTTGAAGTGACATTTTTAAGCAAGAAGCCACCTATGTGGTAAGCGCCGAATGGTTCAGGAGCGCCGATAGGCTGGACGGAACATTTGTCTTGATTAATGGGTAAGCGCCACTGAATCGACCAAGTGTGCAGGAGATCGATCGTCTCTTGTAGTCGATCAGCATCCTCCAGAGAGGATACCTCCTTCCATATCTTTAGATCATCCGCATAAATCGACAATGCGATTGTAGCTCCGACGGTAGATCGTTGATGAAGATGTTAAAGAGTTCGGGGCCGAGGACGGAGCCCTGTGGAACACCGCTGGTCATATGAACAGGATAGGAATACGTTTCGTTCACTCTCACTAGCATGGAACGAGTGTGTAGGAAATCGGAAATCCAGGAGAGAACTTTTCCAGAGACACCGATTCCTCGGAGTAGAGAAGCTGTTCATGAGGGACCTTATCAAAAGCTTTACTGAAGTCCACGAATACAACATCCAGGCATGAAGTACAGCTTGCTCGTATAGCCTCATCAAACCCGAAACGCTTCTTCGCCTATGTCAAGAGTTCAAGTTCAAGTGGGACCGGAACAGTGGGATAAAACCCGTGAATGTTCATTCCGTGACGCGTCGTCGATCCAGGGTATTATTCGTCCGCGACAATTGGAATCCAGAAGAGTCAGATCAGCGCGCGCGAATCACACCACGGTCAACCAATTAATACCCACGCGACCTGCACTGGCAGTCCCCGCCACACCGGTCACGTGAAATAAGAGAGAAATACAAAGTAATAAGAGCGTCAAGATAAGAACGTAGTAGATTTAATAATTCAATAAGACGAATAAGCCAGGATGTGAAGGCGAATGTTAAGAATTGTGGGCCAAGAGCGTCGAGTCGGTGTTCGAACTCTTTCACTGTTGGTGCCAATACCACGTTCTCGGGTAGTGCATTCCAGGAATCCACCACTCGGCGTGATAAACGAAAGTCCGCCCAGACTTCATCTGATCGAGGTTTGTATAGCTTCAGCGAGTGACCTCGGAGCGATGGAAGCCGAGCCGGTTGGAAAAGCCCGGATAAATCGGGTCCGATTTTACCGGTAAGTATACGATAGGTCAAGACTAGGTCACCTCGATGTTGACGATAGTGCATCGAGAACAGCGCAAGTAGTCTTTCTGGGTAAGAATGGTTCCGCAGTCCATGGACCAGTTTGGTTCCAACTCTCAACACTCTCCACTGACATCCTGTCCCTGACTAATCAAGGTGGACAAGCCTGGATGCAGTATTCCAAGTGTGGCCTGACAAATGCTGAGAATAACCTAACAGACATAGCGCCCGTGATGGTCCCGAATGCCCTGCGGATCATGCACAACATTCTGAAACCCTTGCACGTAGCTTTCCTCCAGTTCTCACTGGATTTAAGTTCTGAAGACAACGTGACCCCTAGGTCTACCAATTGGGTAACATGGTGTAGTTCATTACCACCAAGCAAATAACGCGTTTGGGGGCTATTTGGCCCTATTCGTAAGATGGAACACTTTGCATAATTTATGGGCAACTGCCACAGA